CTTATAAATACCATAAAGTCCACTTTTCAATATTTGAATAACACTCACCCGGAGATGACCAGGGATTGTTGGCTCTGCCTAGATTCCCGATCACCCTATTATATAGGTTTTTCCCTTACTGTAGCAAAAAAAGGAGTTACAAATAGTGCCCATGAATAATACTGTCTCATGCCCCTGGGAAACCACTTTCACCCTAGGAGACCTACAGGGACAAAGGACCTGCTTCATGTCAAATGGGTATCCCTTAGCCACCTCTCCTTACCTTTGTAATCAGTCCTATATCATACCCAAGGACACCTGGCCTATAGGAAATACTCAACTACTTCCTATCCCCCGATCTACTTGGTTTGCTTGTTCCTCTAGCTTAACTCCTTGCCTACATCCCAGTTACTTCATGGGAAGACAAGAGTTTTGTGTCCTGGTACATGTCATGCCCCAGGTATATTATTATGGGGGAGATGCAGGTAGACATCATATGGGCCTCTCCCGGCCCCGCAGGGCAGCAACTGCTGCCATTCTAGTCCCCCTCCTGTGGGGACAGGGAAAGCTGGGTCTGCCACCATCAGGACGGCAGCCTGGGTCACAAGTGACCAGAATTTAAAGATTTTGAGTGAACAAGTTGACAAAGATATCAGGAGACTGCATACCACCGCGTCCTATGCAACAAGTAGACCCCTTAGCCAAAGTAGTCCTGCAAAATAGAAGGGGTCTAGACCTACTTTTCCTTAAGGAGGGCAGATTCTGTATGGCTCTAGGAGGAGTATGTTGTTTTTATGCCAACCATTCAGGTATGATTAAGGACACCCTGGCTCAGGTAAAACAGAGCCTCTTAGAATGAGAAGAGCTTAGAAAAGGATCCCAGAACTGGTTCAAATCCCTCCTCTCCTGGTTGCCTTGGCTTACCACCCTTATCACTGGTCTGGCTGGTCCCCTCTTAATCCTTATAGCACTGTTAATCTTTGGACCCTGTATCTTTAATGCTCTAGTCAAGTTTGTTAAACAAAGGGTTTCTGCTGTACAACAGATGGTTATGAGGGCCCATTACAATCCCCTAGGCGACACATATGAGTCAATGAGAGATCTTTGTGAGTTCAAGGCCAGCCTGGTCTACATAGTGAGTTCCAGGACAGCTGGGGCTACAGAGAGACCCTGTTTCAAAAAGACCAAAAAAAGAAAGAAAAAAAAAGAGAAAAGGAAAGAAAGTCAAAGAAAAAAGATGCAGCTAGTAAGTTCCATCAAGGCAGGAAAGGCCTCCTTTCACATTCAGACTCCTGGGAACATAACACTAGGTTGCATTTATACCACACCTGATCTGCCACCAGATGAGATACACACACACCATGTTACTTTGGGAGTAAAAAAAAAGAGCATTATATGACAGCATCTATATTATAAATGGAGTGTTCCTATTAACAATTCAGACAACGCACTTAATAACTGAAAATGCTACCTTCATAAACAGATTACATAAAAGATACTGGAGCCCAGTGCAGTGGCTCAAACCTGTAATCCCAGCACTTGGGAGGTAGAGGCAAGGGGACCAGAAGCTCAAGGTCATCCTCTATACATGCAGGTCTTGGCTCTGTGATACTCTTGTCTTAAAAAACAAAAAACAGGGCTGGTGAGATCTGACAATAGTTCTCCAAACCCACACAGTAGAGCAGAACCAAAATGCTCTAAGTTATCCTCAGGAGGAAGAATCCGCATCTTAAAGTGGGTGTGGTGGCACACACCTTTAATCCCAGTATGCATGAGGCAGAGGTAGGTGGATCTCTGAGTTCTAGACTAGTCAGGGCTACATAGTGAGACATTTTCTTTCTTGTCTTTTTGAGACAGGGTCTTCCCTGTAGCCCCAGCTGTCCTAGAACTCACTATGTAGACCAGGCTGGCCTTGAACTCACAGAGATCCACCTGCCTCTGCCTCCCAAGTGCTGGGATTAAAGGCGTGCGCCACCATACCCAGCGAGACCCTTTCTTAAAAAAAGAATCCTTGGCTGGAGAGATGGCTCAGCGGTTAAGAACATTGGTTGTTCTTGCAGAAGACCTGAGTTCAAATCCCAGCACCCACGTGGCAGCTAACAACTGTCCATAACTCCAGTTCCAGAGGATCTGATGGCCTCTTCTGTCTTCCGAGGGCTACAGGGAGACCCTGTCTCAGAAAGGCCAAAAAAAAAAAAAATTCCTTGTCTCTACTCCTTTATAAGGTACTCAGCAAGTCTGAATCAGGAAGGCTACCACAGCTTACAGAGATATAAAGATCAGCCGTTCATTATCCTGTACATTATCTGCTCCAAATCGGTAAGACAACTCACAGAAAGCAAGCCAGGAAGCTAGTCCAAGTCCAGGCGCCTAGCACAGTCCAACAATGCTTCCTCCTGAGATGCTGAATAACAGACAAGAAGACCCAAGAGATTCCCCTCCACTTTCCATCCCAACAAACTCTTGGTCATCAGGGCCTCCCAAAGGAGCTGTAAAAGCAAAGAATTCGGACCCATTTCTAGTATTCAAGAAGGCTCAGCTAGGTGTTGTGGAAAACACTTTTAATCCCAGCGCTCAAGAGGGAGAAACAGGTGGATCTCTATGAGTTCAAGGCCAGCAAGGGGCTACATAAAGACCCTATCTCAAAAAAAAAAAAAAAAATATATATATATATATATATATATATATGTTAGCAATATATATATCTTAGTAATTTATATACATATATATCTGTGAGGTCTTGGGAAAACTGTTCAGCCTTTCTGGGCTTCTAGCTTCTTACCTGTTAAGCAAGGGCCTAATCACCACCTCAGAGAACTCTGGCAATGATATAGTAAAAACCTAATAGCAGAGTCAGGTCATGGTAAAGAGCAAATGTGGCTCTGACCTGACACATCCAACTCAGTCAGGCAAGAATGTGTTTAAAGAAAAGACACATCATCATGCTAGCAAACAACTACAAGCACCATAAAAACCTCTCCAGCCCAGGAACAAGAAGGAAAGTACAAGAATCCAGGCTCTGTGGGTAAGGGCTGGCAAGATGGATCAGTGGGCAAAAAAGCCTCCCAGGAAGCTTCAAGCGACAACATGGCCCCCTGGTATAATTTCAGAAGAGCCCTGAGTAACTAGAACCCAGTTCTTGCCAACTGCTCAGTGGATGCTGCAAATAAAGAGGTTTTAACATCATGACTGACACCCTAAATAGCAGTGGGTCAATTTTACCTTTCTTTTTTCTTTGTTTTTGGAGACATGGTCCTACATACTATGCAGCCTAGACTGGCCCAGATTTTGACATCCTCTTGCCTGAATGCTGGGTGCTAGGATTATAGATGTATGTGCCACCACATCCAGTTTATTTGGGGCTGGAGAGATATTTTTATCTCTTTTCTTAAAGACCTCTTAAGCTCAAGCATGCAAATGTACACCCACTTAACAAATGTTTGCATGTGTAAAAAATGAATAACATGAGAATTAACAGATCAAAACTTCAGGGACTTCCAACCAATAAATAAAATAAAGGGGAACATGTTACCAACTTGATGTCTTCTGGATCTAGCAGAGCATACATGCCTGCTGTCATCTCCATGCAAACTAGTAGGTGCTGAAGGCCACAGCATGGACCAGGAACTGGTGGTAGATGTGTAGGCCCCTGCATACCCACTGTGCCTCTGTCACTTTCTATGCATCTTACCTCTCCAGTTAAGAGTGGTAGCCCTGATGGCTCTAGTAGGTTAGGCATCTGTCCTGCAGAGCCCCGGCTCATCTATTTCTTTCCTTTTCCTTGTGCATGCTAAGTTCAAAACTTCATGTGCAGGTGCATGTATATGTTTGCATGCACATGTGTGTATCCCGGGATAGGATCTGTATGTGTGTGTGTGTGTGTGTGTGTGTATTGAGACAGAGTCTCACTTTATAGCCCAGGCTGGCCTTGAACTGGAAACAATCCTGGCTTAGTGCTGAGACTATAAGCATGCACCACCATGCCCATCTTAAGATTTACTTTGTGGGGGCTGGAGAGATGACTCAGTAGTTAAGAGCACTGGCTGTTCTTGCAAAGGACCCAGTTTTGATTCCCAGCACCCACAGAGCAGCTAAAAACAGTCTGTAACTCCCAGTTCCAAGAGATCTGACACCCTCTTTTGACTTCCACCAGCACTGCACAATACAGATGGAGTTACACACACACACACACACGCAGGCAATATATTCAGACACATAAAATTTTTTTTTGGTCTTTTTGAGACAGGGTCTCCCTGTAGCCCCAGCTGTCCTGCAGCTCACTATGTAGACGAGGCTGGCCTTGAACTCACAGAGATCCACCTGCCTCTGCCTCCCGAGTGCTTGGATTAAAGGCATGCGCCACCACGCCAGGCCAAAATAAAAATATTTTTTAAAAAGATTTACAGCTGGGTGTGGCTGTAAATGCCAGCACTCAGGAGGCAGAGGTGGGCAGATCTCTGTGAATTCAAGGCCAGCCTGGTCTACATAGTGAGTGCCAGGCCAGCTGGAGCTACAGGGAGACCCTGGCTCAAAATAGATGAAAATAAATATATAAAAATAAAAAAGATTTACTTTGCAGCTGTTGATTTTGCCACTTGATTTTATTGTAAAGCAGAAACCCTTTATTACTTTTGGTAGTAAGAAGGAGTGAACTCAGAGCCGTGGGCATGTGCTCTACCACTGGTAAATATCCCCAGCCAGAAATGAACACTTAATTGCTAGGGCCTTCTGGAGCTCTCAAAACCTAGCTCAAATAGGAAACGTACACAGTAAAATAACTCTACTCAATAGAAGCATCTAAAGTCTGGCCTCTACTGTCCTAACGTGTGGCAGAAGCTGGGCACTGATGAGGGTGTCACCATCCTGGGTTTAGGAAAGCGGTAGCAAGTGTAGCACTAGGCGAGGTGACACTAGACTTGCCAGCAGACCTTTGTCTAAGAGGAAAGAGGGTCTTCCGGGAAACTACCCTGTAACAGACATCAGGACCCCTCTCCCCTGCCCGGCGGCAGTTAGCCTGTTACCTGCTCTGCCCCGTAGACCGTGGCGAACTGGATGAAGTCCTCGATGCGGACAAAGCCATCCCCATCACTGTCCAGGGCGTCGAACACGGCCCTGAGGCGCGCACCCTCTTCCTGGGCTGTCCGCGGCTCGCTGGGCAGCAACAACGCAGAGCTTGGGTCCGAGGGCGGCCCGGGACAGGCCTGCAGCAGCTCGCCCGAGGGCCTCAGGGGCAGGGCCCGCATGGAGCCGCAGTCTTCCAGATCCTCAGGCCAGCTGCACCGGGCTCTGGGCTCCTCTGGCTCTTTGGACTGTAGCCAGAGGCACGGCGCATCCGTCTCTGGCCAGCAGCGAGTTGCGTTCGGCTCCTCCAGCCAGAGGCAGGGCACGTAGGGCTCCTGCGGCCAGAGGCGAGATGCTGTGGGCTCCTCCGCTTCCTGCGGGCAGCAGCACCGCGCATCGGGATCCTCTGACCAACAGCGAGGTGAGTCGGGTTCCTCAAGCTCTTCGGCCCAGCAACATGGTGTATCAAGTTTCTCTGGCTCCTTCGCACGGCAGCCAAAAGCGTCGGGGTCCGCCAGCTCCTCCCTCAAGCAGTTAAGTGCGTCGGGCCCCTCAGGCTCCCTGGCCAGGCCGCACAGTGCGTTGAGCTCCTCCGGCCAGCAGCTAAGTGTGTCGGGCTCCCCGGGCTCCTTGGCTAAGGAGCTAGGTACGTTGGGCTCTCCCAGTTCCTTAGCCAAACAGCTAGATGAATCGGGTTTCTCCAGCTCCTGGGCCAAGAGACACAGTGCATCCAGCTCCTCTGGCCAACAGCTAGGTGCATTGGGCCCCTCCAGCTCCTGAGCCAAGCAGCTAGGTGCATTGGGCCCCTCCAGTTCCTGGGCCAAGCAGCTAGGTGCATCTAGCTCCTCCAGATCCTGGGCCAAGCAGCTAGATGAATCGGGCTCCTCCAGGTCCTGGGCCAAGAGGCACAGTGCGTCCAGTTCCTCTAGCCAGCAGCTAGGTCCGTTGGGCCCCTCCAGCTCCTGGGTCAAACAGCTAAGTGCATCAGGCACCTCCAGTTCCTGGGCCAAGCAGCTAGGTGTATCGGGCCCCTCCAGTTCCTGGGCCAAGCAGCTAGGTGCATCTGGCTCCTCCAGTCCCTGGGTTAAGAGGCACAGCGCGACCAGCTCCTCCCGCCAGCAGCTAGAAGCGTCGGGCTCCTCCAACTCCTGAGCTAAGCCGTTAGGTGCATCAGGCTTCTCCAGCTCCCGAGCCAAGCAGCTAGATGCATCGGGCTCCTCCAGCTCCTGGGCCAAACAACTAGGTGCATCGGGCTCCTCCAGCTCCTCTGGCCAGCAGCTAGGTGCAATGGGCCTCTCCAGCTCCTGGGCTAAGCAGCTAGGTGCATTAGGTCCCTCCAGTTCCTGAGCCAAGCAGTTAGGTGTATCAGTCCCCTCCAGTTCCTGGGCCAAGCAGCTAGATGCGTTGGGCTCCTCCAGCTCCTGGGCCAGGCAGCTAGATGCGTCCAGCTCCTCCAGCTCCTGGGCCAGGTAGCTAGGTGCATCAGACTCCTCCAGCTCCTGGGTCAAGAGGTACAGTGCGTCCAGCTCCCTTGGCCAGCAGCTAGGTGCGTTGGGCTCCTCTGACTCCTTGGCCAATCGGCACCGTGAGTCCAGCTTCTCAGGCCAACAGAGAGGTGCGTTGCGGTCCTTGGCCCAGCTACACGGTGCATCAGGCTCCTCCGGCTCCTCTGGCCAGCACTGAGGCGGGGCGTGTTCTCCAGGCTCCTCCGACCACCTGCAAGGTCCGCCGGGACCTATCGGTCCCTTGACCCCGCGCCAGGAACCCGGCACCGGTTCGTCGTGGTCGGACAGGGAGGCCGGCGGGTCCGACTCCATGCTCGGGCGCCGGCTGAACTATGGATGAAGTGAGCCGCACCGGAAGCAGACAAAGGCGCTCAGGGCGCGGCGGCGGGCGCGGGCATCCCCGCGGCTGCGCGGGCGGGTGCGCGCGGGGAGCCCAGGCTGCTGAGGCTG